ATAAGGCCAATATGCTAAAGGCATACTAGAATGAGCCATAAGGGCCAAACTAGTCTCGACAACATGAGACTACCCCCCAATTAGATTGACAAGAAATGTGGACAAATTCTGAACCTCACCCCCCAATCAGATTGAACTCGTTTAATTTTTGAATTAAATTAAGTTTCCACTAAAGCTTTAAACCGAAGGAAAGCTGTATAAGGTTCATCTTTTGTTTTTAGTAAATAAAGCCAAGTGAAGCGTGTATGATCATCAATAAACAACACAAAATAACGAACACCAGTAATTGATTGAACAGGACTAGCACCCCATAAATCGGTATGAATTAATTCAAAGGATTTCATTACTTTTGAGTTTGACAAAACAAAAGGTAAACGATGGCTTTTAGCCATTTTACAAGAATTACAAAAGGAAAGCTGAGATTGCTTAGAACTTAAAAGATTACAAGATTGTAAAATCCTATGCACTATAGGAGAGGCAGAGTGTCCCAAACGAGAGTGCCAGAGATCAGTTGACAGTTGATGGAGCAAGCATGAAGGTTGGATTGAAGAGGTTGGTTATGACTTGGAAGAGGAGATGGTGTAGAGACCATTGTTAAGTTTGCCCCGGGGGAGAATTTGCTTGGAAACCTGATATTTGACAAGGAAAAAATTAGGGTGAAACTCAACAAAGGCATGGTTATCACGACACAATTGATTGACACTGACTAGATTTGAAGATAATACAGGTGTGTGTAAGACTCGAGATAAACGTAGTGGTTTATGCAGTGAATATGGAATACAAGCATGCTCAACATTCAAGATTGCAAGAGTCTTACCATTTCCCACCACAACATGATCAGTCCCATGGTATGGCTGAGCATCTTGCAGCAGAGAAGCATCTGGAGTGAAGTGGTGTGTAGCCCCAGAGTCTAGATACTAGGATTGGTCCTAAACAATGCTTGTAGTGGCTGGATCAAGGAATGGATTTGTAGAACCAAGCTCTGTTTCTGAGGATGCAATGACATTAAAGGCCTTCATAATTGGTGGTTTATAGCTCACATTGGTCCGCTGATAACAAGTATAGGCAGTGTGATTATCTTTGCCACATATATGGCAAGGAGATGACCTAAAAGGTGCTCCAAGTGTTTGTTTAGAGTGACCAGTCAATGGGGAACTTGGTGGTTTGCCGAGTAAACCAACTTGAGGTGAAACATTGTAAACCGGCTTGGGAAGAGCTCTGTTAGAATATTGGTAAGGACGGGGATGAGAAGTCTTTGGAATGGGTATGGGAAAAGTGGTAGCAACATTGGCTTGAAGGGAGCTAAGCTGAGTAGTGGCATGTTGTCGAGCAAGTCGAGCCTCAAAATTGAAGAATAGGCTGTGAATCTGCTCAATAGGCGGTGAATCCAGACGGTTACTCACCGACTTAACAAATGGGTTATACTTTTGGTCAAGACCATTGAAGAAATAAATCAGGTGATCTTCTTTAGACACCGGGTGTCCAATAGATGCTAAACAGTTGCAGATTTTCCTAATCTTCTGAACATATTCAGCGGGCAGACAAGCCATCTTTTCTCAAGGTCTGGAGCTGAGTCCTCAACTCAGTAACCCAAGAAAGAGCAATAGATTCATACATTTGAGCCAGACTTTGCCAAATTTCTTGAGCCGTATCAAAAAGAACAATCTGAGACATAACGTCTTCAGAAACGGAAGCATAAATCCAACTCATTAAGAGGCGATTATACTTGGCCCAGAGCAAAAATTAAGAATTACTATGTTGTTGATTCATATCAAGAAAATGAGATGGTGGTTGCTGAGTCCCATTAATAAAGCCCTCCATACCATTTGCAATTATCACGTTCAGTAGTTGATTTTTCCAAATTAAATATTTGTCAAAGTTGAGCTTCACAGTAACGGCCTGATTCATAGACGGAGGAGGAAAATTAGCAGGCTGAATAGGAATATATTGAGGGAAGGTAGGAGGATAATTTGGTTGGAATTGGATTTGGGTGTTTTGGGGATAGAATGTGGGAATAGTGTTTGCAGCGGAATACAAAGGCGTTTGGAAGTTGGATTTGGGGATTGAGGTTTCGTTTAGATTGAAATTTCTTTGTGAAGGAGTGGTTTGATTTGGTGAACTCTGATTTGGTATGGAAGAGGAGGAGGAAGGTATGGTGGAGCTAGGAGAAGCTGAGGTTGCAGGAGTTGCCATGGATCTAAGGCTCTGATACCATGAACAGGTTTCTAGATGAAGGAAGAAGGAAGAAGAAGAAGAAGACAGAGAAAACAAGAATTTGCTATTACTGATAAAATGTATTGTCGTTTATGATTAACTGAAAAATGCATAAGATGCCTTTTTATATAAAGGATGCAAAACAGATATTAAAGATAAATAAATTGATTACTAAGCCCATAAGAATAAAGCTCAAAAACAATTATAACAAGACCCATTAACCCATCTTATCAATTATGATGAGAACGTAACCGTTAAAAATGTATTATAAAGTTGATATTAATGAAAAATGGAGACGTTTGGTTCATGAATTAGAATTATTTTCGATTTATGTGTATTTTTTATGAGAGAAAATACTGTAACGAACTATGAATCATGATTCGAATTGGGATACGAATCCTCCAACTAAACAACTCCTACATTTTCATATTTAATAAGTAATTATGATGAGAACGTAACTGTCAAAAATTTATTATAAAGTTAGCATTTATGAAAGTGAGATCCAAGACAGACTGCTATTATTTCACCAACCACATGACATTTATTTCACAACCTTCCTTGTGCCTTGAGTGGTTCGGGTGTGAAGTCACCTCTTACTATGTCAAGGGTTCGAGGGTTTTGAAGAGGAGAGAATAAAACGTGCCATTCATTTCGCAAACACTTCTTACTTTGACAATTAGACATTACACATGATTATGCACATAGCATCGTTCATTTGCTTGGAACTGTCGTATAACCCGAAAACGTCAAATCTGATGTTGTTTTCTGAAATCTGAACGTGGCATCAATGTTCTGGGCCACAAGGTATCAAGTATCAACTGAAGTAAGATCTTCAGATATTTCGTAAATAAATTAAGCGGCGAGGCTAATTATTCGGTGGACGAAAAAGGAGCAATATTCTTGCTAAGTAATCATCAATATATATATATATATATATATATATAATTAGAACAGGATTATACGCTCCTTATGGGTCCCAAAGTAAGCATGTTGAGGAATTAAACACCAAGAAAATTAAGTTAAAGGACTCAAGTGAACAATTTTGTAGTTATTCATACGCAATTTATGCCGGTTATAATATAACTCTATAAGCAACTAATTAACTCGAGAAAAATAATAAAAAATAAAATGTTATCCATACATATGGTTGCCCCGCATCAGAAGCTGTGAAGGTGACAAAGTACAGGCCCGTGTGAAACAGTAGTTTTAATTAATTTCTCCGAGCAGCAAAATATATGGCCCCACAATTAATTTTATCATTTTTGCAACTTTCTGATCAGTTTCTAGCTCACGGATAAAGCCCCCAGCAAACTTTTATTTAAGGGGAATTTATCTGGTATGACTAGAAGAATATATTTTAAGCTATCTGTATCATAAATTATATATTTTGATTAAATTTAACGATTAAAAACTGAGTTTTACCGAAAAAATTCTTTTCTCATCAGTTTTTATACTATTATTTTTTTCTCTTGAGGCCGTTCCAATATTCTTGCTAAGTAATCATATATATATATATATATATATATATATATAATTAGAACAGGATTATACGCTCCTTATGGGTCCCAAAGTAAGCATGTTGAGGAATTAAACACCAAGAAAATTAAGTTAAAGGACTCAAGTGAACAATTTTGTAGTTATTCATACGCAATTTATGCCGGTTATAATATAACTCTATAAGCAACTAATTAACTCGAGAAAAATAATAAAAAATAAAATGTTATCCATACATATGGTTGCCCCGCATCAGAAGCTGTGAAGGTGACAAAGTACAGGCCCGTGTGAAACAGTAGTTTTAATTAATTTCTCCGAGCAGCAAAATATATGGCCCCACAATTAATTTTATCATTTTTGCAACTTTCTGATCAGTTTCTAGCTCACGGATAAAGCCCCCAGCAAACTTTTATTTAAGGGGAATTTATCTGGTATGACTAGAAGAATATATTTTAAGCTATCTGTATCATAAATTATATATTTTGATTAAATTTAACGATTAAAAACTGAGTTTTACCGAAAAAATTCTTTTCTCATCAGTTTTTATACTATTATTTTTTTCTCTTGAGGCCGTTCCCTACAGAATTCCCACTTGCTACGAGACAGATGAAAAAGAAATCAAACAACTGTCTACCTCGAAGAAATAACTTCGAAAAATTGCACCTTATCTAAGAAGAACACTATATATATAGTTAGCTCACCAAGCTATATCTCAAATTGAAAATAATGATCAAATTGGCCATCAGACTCCGACCAGTTGATCATGTTTGGTAGAGGGATTCGTTCCCTGATTCGAATCATGATTCATAGTTCGCTACAGTATTTTTTCTCATAAAAAATTCACATAAATTAAAAATAATTTAAATCATATAGTTTGAATTCTCCAACTAAAAATAACAGTAGCAAAATACTTTCTAATATTTCAATGTACCCTACACATGGTAAAGGAGGAAGTTTGACTGACTCGACACACAAGTGTGACCATTCAAACCTTGTTTTCCTCCCCCCTTTATCTTGGCTATTAATATGATTGAATTTATTGCACGTACTCCCACCTGCCTGCCCATACAGAAATCTGTACCAACTAGGATTCTTCATGAAAGACCTCATTTATTCATCTATATTTATGATATTCGCTTCCCAATATCACCTCAAAACCCCCCAACATATCCTACTAGGCTACCACCACACACCACTCTATAACTTTGTCTCCTTTATCTTGTTTCCATTCATTCCTTACAAAGCCAGATGATTCGTTCATTTTTGTTGCAACTTCTCAAGTACTTCACCCTTCAAGTGTTTGTGATGTACTCCACCAAATTAGCTTCACAAATTCTCCTACAAAAATGGAGTATATTTCACGTTTTTCTCCTCTTGATCACTTGTTTAATTCTCTTCTTCGTTCTCATTAAACCATACATTTTAAATTCTTCATCGTCATCATCTTCAGTCTATTTGGTTGACTTCGCGTGCCTCAAACCACCAAGCTTCTGCAGAGTACCTTTCTCCACCTTCCTCGAAAACGCCTCAAAGTTCCGATCTTTCGACTGCGAGAGCATGGCTTTCATGGCCAAAATCCTCTCTTCTTCAGGCCAAAGCGAAGAGACCTTTCTCCCACCAGCCCTACACTACATCCCACCAAAAATCCACCTCCATGAATCTATCAAAGAGGTCCACATGTCACTCTTCACCGTCATGGACGACCTCTTAGCCAAAACCAACCTCTCTCCGCAAGACGTCGACGTACTTATCGTGAACTGCAGCGGATTCTGCCCCTCTCCTTCTCTCTCCTCCATTGTCGTTAACAAATACGCCATGAGAAGCGACGTCAAGAGCTTCAACCTCTCCGGCATGGGGTGTAGCGCAAGCGCTCTAGGGATAGACTTGGCTCAAAACCTTCTTAAAATCCACGAAAACTCAAACGCCATTGTTCTCAGCACGGAGATCTTGTCCCCCGGATGGTACTCCGGCAATGAAAAGCCCATGTTGCTTCTCAACTGCCTCTTTCGAATGGGAAGCGCAGCGATATTGTTGACCAACAAGAAAGAAGCAAAAACTGTTTCAAAGTACGAACTTATCAAAACCCTAAGAACCCAAAGGGCCTTCGAAGACAAGGCTTATCTCTCAGCCATACGCGAAGAGGATTCAAACGGAAACCTAGGAGTTACTCTCCGAAGAGACTTACTCCAAGTCGCCGGAGAGACTCTCCGTTCGAACGTCGCCGTCCTGGGGTCGTCGATACTGCCGCTAAAAGAGAAGCTCCGTTACGGCGTTTCGGTTCTTATAAGGCGTTTTTTGGACAAGTCTTGTGAGATTTACGTGCCGGATTTCAAGACAGTGATAGAGCATTTTTGCTTGCCGACTTCGGGAGGTCCGGTTATAAAGGAGATCGCGAAAGGTTTGAGGCTTGGAGAGAGAGATATGGAAGCTGCTCTTATGACGCTTCACAGGTTTGGGAACCAGTCTTCTTCTTCGCTTTGGTATGAGTTAGCTTACTTGGAGGCTAAAGAAAGGATCAAGAAAGGTGACAAGGTTTGGCAACTTGGGATGGGGAGTGGGCCTAAGTGCAATAGTGTTGTATGGAAGTGTGTCAGGCCCATTGTTGGAGAGTCCAATAAGAGCCCATGGGCCGACTGTATACATAGGTATCCAATTGTGACCAGCCATTAAGGAGGTTGGCTTGGGTGTGACTTGTGAGTATTTAGTATTTACTATGATTGGTACTTGTTTCATTACGTATTGAACCAAAAAAGAAAAAAGGTATTTATTATTGCGTACCAGTTCTGTTTCCAGAATCCAACCTTTTCTTTTGTTTTGCTGCACAGACTCTGATTCAATACTATCTCATGTATTGAAAAAAATTGATGGAATTAACGGTGAGATGCTAAACTATATTAGTAATTTTCATCACGTTTTAATAAATTTCAATATTTTTTTTTGTAATATTATGATTTAACGGTCTAAAGTTGCATCAGGAGTTTTTTTTTTTCTTTTTTTCCTCCCTACCATTTATATTTCTTAAAAAAAGAAGTTTTGGATTGAAAAGTTTGGACTTCGTTCAGTTTACCAATTTGAATTGAGACGTGATTTTATGTGAATTTTTAACTGTCATAAAAATGTTAAATGTGACTGTTTTTTAAAATTTTTAACTGTAATAAAATTGAAATTAAAAACTCAAATTGATGAAATGAACGATATCCAAAATATGTGCTTTGTTATGTGCGGGCTTCAATTCCCAACAGGAGAACACGTTCGTCCAAAATGGCAATTTATTTATTTATGTTTTTTGCTGATCATCCTAAGAGGCCATTGCTACTATCTTAAAGACAAGGGAATACACGAAACCCCATTGCTAGGCCATGTAACCTTGAATTATTGGTACAAACATTTGATATGGGCGTTGAACTGGCGGGTGAAAAGCAGTAAAACACTGTGACTGTGCTAGCACCACAACTTTAAAAAGTCCCCTAGCTAGGCCCTATAATAACTCATGTAAAATCTACTCACTATGTCTAGTCATGGTCGGACAAGTAAGCTTTGTGATATCATGATAGTCGATGCAAATTCAATTACCACTTTTTAGCGGACATGTGGGACCCTAGCCAGACGTTTTGTTTGATCATACGAGGAGATTTAAGCTTCGTTCACTTCGCTGATTCGAGTTTAAAATTCGAGTTGAGATGTGATTTTATGTGAGAGTTTTTTACTGTAACAAAAAAATTAGATGTGATTATTTGTGAGAGCTTTTTACTGTAGAAAAACTCAAATTCTAAACTCGAATCAGCGAAGTGAACGGAGCCTTGATCTATCGTGAATCCGTTCTTTGCCCATTGGCATTGCCAAGTTTGATTCATTGATGGGGCATGTGGGGGAAGATGAAAGGATTACAAGAATCGTAACTTGTATTTATGGTGCTAAGGTATCTTTTCCATCTTATGTTATGACCTACGAGTTTAAAATTTATTAGTAGATCTCCTTCCACAAACTAGTTAGGCACCAAAACCGCGTTAATATTAAGGAGTTAGTTGTAGAAAAATACTTGAGATACTCCTAGTATTTAGCATCATAATTAATAAAAGGTGAACCTTTTTATAAGAGTCATATTGCAGGATCCAAATTCAAATAATGTATGGTGTTTTTTTTAGATTATTATTACTGGTGTCTTTTAAATTTTAAAGTCATTCTCAATTTATCTCATAAATTTTAAATACTCACTTTACCTCATGAATTTTAAATTTCTCCCTGTTAACCCATTCTTTTATAATTTATGTTAAAATCAGATAGAAAAAGTTAGAGTTTAAGCGACGCTATGTGATTTTTATTTATTTATTTTTAATAAAAATTCAAACAGAAAAATTACATGATTACATTATTCTCTTTTTTTTATATGTTTTTAACATAAATTATAAAATAAAAGGTTAAGTGAGAATAATTTAAAATTTTTGAAATAAAATTAAAATTTTTAAAATTTAAAAAGTAAATTAAAAATAACTTTAAAATTCAGTAAATATTAATAATAATAATTTTTTTCTTTAAATAATGTGCGGTGTTGAGCATTAGAGATGTCATGTTTCCCAAACATTGTTAGTTGTTGTTTTTGCTACTAGGTTCTTGTAATTTGCTTGAAAGTTGGGTCTCTTAATAATTTGACAGATGACTAAAATATAGATTGTGTAAGTACAAGTACTAAAAAAGTACAATAAGTGAGTTAAAAGAGAAAATAAAAAATTTTCTTTTGATCTGGACCAAAGAGAGACGTCCAGCTTTCTTCCTGTATCAACACCATACGCGCCATACTAGATCAGCTTGTGAAACTGAAGCCTTTTGCGACTGTCTATTAAAGGACACTTGTTTTATGCAAAATAAAAGAGCACTTTTTTCATGGAAAATTAAAAAAAGGGCACTTTACTTCTTTAGTTGATGCTTCTGTCCTCTTGTTAGGGAAAATAGCTGTCTAAGGGCAATAACGGTGATTCTCATGAATTACCGCCTAAAATATGTTCAGTAGATTATTACGACCGTTCAATAATGTTTTCAAACTAATTTTATCTTTAATATAAAAGTAAAAATAAGATTATTTTAAAAAATTATTCTCAGACTGATTTTAAAATTAGGTTTAATTAATTTTTTAAAAGATTATTTTGAGTATAATAAAAAAATAAAATAGTGTTTAGTTATAATTATTAATTAATATATTATAACTTTATTGATAAGTACTAAGAAATGAAAACAGAAAAAATAAAATAATTTTTAACCGTTTTTTAATTTTTTTATAAAAATTATTCTCACTATTTTTTATTTTTATTTTTTTTAAATATTTATTAAATAAATACGATTTAAAGACTGTTTTTATTTTTATGTCTTAAAAAGTTTGTAAAAACATTTTTAAAAATAAGTAAAAATTAATCTCAAACGCACCCTACATTTTCTACATAAAAAATAAAATAAACTGTGCACATATATTTTCTTTCCATTTATATTTTATTATAATTAGACTATCTAATTATTAAAACACAGTTTCTACGCCGGTTTTGGGGGCTTGGCCTCGTAAGTGGCAGGTGTTTAGGGTATGCGACTCTTGAAGGCTTTCTGATTTGGCAATGTGAGTGCGGAAGAGGAGTACTCCACAAAAATTATTAGGCGCGTTTGGAACTCGTTTTAAAATAATTTTATTTTTTGTATGAAAATAAAAATAAAAATATTTTCAATCTCATATATAAATAATTTTTAAAAATACGTTTAATAATTTTATTAAGAGATTATTTTCAGTATAAAAAAATTCATTAATGTATTTCTTTCTCTTTACTCGAGAGAGGAGAAAACGAAAATAAAAAATAAAAAATGACTAAAAGTCGTTTTTCATTTCTCTCTTATTTTACACTAAACTAAAAAATCGTTTTCATTTTCATTTTTTATCTTTATTGTGTCAAACGTCGTTTTAGAAACATTTTCATTTTTTCTTTCTCAAAAAATGTGAAAAATAAAAATGAGATCAATTCTAAACACGGTGATTAAGGTCTCATTAATTTTACCAGTTCAATTTAAAAATTTGAGTTTTAGTACAGTAAAAAGCTCTAAAAAACAGTCACATTTAACTTTTTTATTACAATAAAAAATTCTCATATAAAATTACATCTTAATTCAAATTAAAAACTCAAATCTAAGAACTAAACATGCTAAGCTTTTGGCTCCCTTACCGACAGTCTGTGGGAGATTTCTAGTATTTATGAGGATGCTTGGTTGGTTGCCTGACATTTCTCGTCTTATGAATTTCTTTGGATATAGAAGGCAACACATGTTTGTTGTTCATATATTAATATCATTGGCTTCTCTTTTTTTTTTTTTTTTTTTTTTTTTTTTTTTGGCTTCGGAAAGTATTATGTTGTTTGGATGTGAGGCTCTTTGAGTTTAGGTTGCTAGTTTTTGCTAGGTGCAGGATTTTTCATTTCGTTGTTGCTAGTCGTATGTGGCTTAGCTTCTTTCATTTTTGCCAATTTTATTTTGTTGCATATTTTATTAGGAGGTCAATATTAAAAAAGAGCAGTTTTAATATTAGATTATCATTCTATATATATTTAAATCATTAAATAAATGAAATGTACTTTTTACATTGAGACGCACTATAGCTCTATAAATTTATATGTTAATAAACACGGTTATTTTCAAGTTGATTCCCAACTGAAATTAGTAGTTCGAATACTTTTACAGTATTTGTCTATTGGTAAGTACTGTTATATTTAGATTAATATATTTTTGACAGCCTAATTAATAAGGATTTACGTTATAAATTTGTGATTTCTCGATATAGAACTGATGCTACTCATAGCTCAAACCATCGAAATACTAGTAGCTACCGCCAGTGAAAAAAGAAAGTTCTTAATTTTTTTTAAAAAGTACACAATTATTTCATCTGCAAATCTTTATACTTTTTCTTTGTTTGATATAAGGTGTCGCATTTGAATTTGTGATATCAATATTACAAGTGTCTAAACCTCCAGGCTGCAACTTATAAATGTGTCGTCCACTTGTCGTGTTTCACACTGTTATTGATCTATTACATTCACCATCCAATACCCATAATCAACCAGACTTTAGGGTGTGTTCAGCGGTCTCAAAAATTCAAAAAAAAAAAAAAATTCGAGTTTTAACTTTATTTAAGTTAATGCTTTTTAAGTTTAAATTTGAGTTTAAACTCGAGTTTAGGACTAAAACTCAAGTTTAAGTTTCCCTTTTAACTTGAGTTCAGAAACTCAAACTCAAATTAATGAACATTATTTTTTCTATTCTTAAAAATGCTATAACTTTTTCGTTTTAATCCTGATTGAGATGATTTTTTTATGCATTGACAACGAAAAGACGAATAAAACTCCACCCATATACCCTATTAAAATTTTTCATCACCATTGAGTTTTTATTAAAATACTATCTAAATACAAATTCAAGTTTTGACTCACTCAAACACAAACTTAAAAAGATTCTTATCTCAAACAATAACTCAAATATACGCAACTAAACACAAATTCAAGTTACAACTTTAACTCAAGTTATAACTCAAATTCAACTCAAGAACTACACTGAAGTCACACTCTAAAAGAACATGCTCAGTTTTTATTTTTTAATAAGTAATGTAGCATTGACGTTTAGTTCATAGTTTAAAATTATAATTTAAAATTATTCTCAATTTATATATATATATTTTTTTAAAAATATTATAACGAGTTACAAATTATAATCTGAATTATGATACGAATCATTACTCTAAACGCATTGAGATTGGAGTAATTGGTGAGGAGAATAGTAAATACCTTAAAAAGGAGTCGTCGTTGAAAACAACAAAAAGGCTTTCAAAGTTATCTTTAGCAAATATTTAGGATGAAAAAGGCTATTTACTTTAGTATTGTTTTAATTAATTTTTTAACAGTTAGATCAGTACATAAATATTTACAACGAGCGATACAAAATTATTTATATTTTAAATCAAACCATTAAAAATTTAATCAAATAATTAAAACACAGTTTTGATTGGTGGAGTAAAATAACATTTATCTACTATAAATGCACTCTTTTTTTATTTTATTTGAAAAGAGAGCAAATATATTGGAATGATCTTCATGTTTTTTCTTTTAATGCCAACTTAGATTTTATAATGAGGCAGAACTAGGAGGAAAAGGAACTTGGTAAGTTTTGCTGTCCGAAACAATTTTCACAATTTTTTCCCATCGTTTAGCACACTGCGATCACTTTACACTCGTATATATATATATATATATATATTTTTTTTTTTATGTGTAATTGTGTATTGCTGTATGTACAATGTATGTGTACGAGATTTCCCTTCTGACAAAATAAATTCGATATCAAAGCTTAGAACTTATAAAGTCACCAATATGAAAGAAAGATCAAGTAAAGCCTCAGACAAACGGCGCAAACCCACTTGGAATTGAAGCCAAGTTGATAAATATTCATGCCTTTCTCGCCATTTCATTGGTTTGCAAAATTTGGAAACACAAATTTTTCAACCGTGACCGTGCTCCGATGCAAGTAAGTACTGCAAGTATCTTGTGAATTTACAGGACCGCCATTAGCCGTATCTCAGCAAACATACAATACACCAGTATAATGACTCATGAGAATACCATTCCTGTCAGTTTACCCGTCTATGCTCATAAATCCAAGTTATTACATTAATTTGAGTTTTAAATTTAAATTTTATTATAATAAAATTTTTAAAAATAGTCACATCTAATTTTTTTATTATAATAAAAAATTATCATATAAAATTACATTTTAATTTTAAATTAAAAACTCAAATTAATTAACTAAATGAGCTTACTTTTGCTTACTAAATTTCGTTTATTTTACCGATTTGAGTTTTACTATAATAAAAAATTTTTAAAAATAATTATATTTAATTTTTTTATTACAGTAAAAAATTTTCATATAAAATTATATCTCAACTTAAATAAATAAACTAAACATACCCTTAAATACGAACTCCGTGCCGTTATATTTTAAACGGCAATAGACGAGAGGAATGACATTGCACATTTTTAAAGAATTTAAGATTCGTTTCGTAAAAAAAAAAAAAAAAAAAAAAATGAAACTATCACATTATAAAGAATGTCCGTGCAATTTACTTTTTTTATTAACGAAGTGCTAATGATCACACTGATACGTGGTAAAATATCAATCATATTTCATTTCATTTCACACAGCTAAGGCGGAAAAATGTGTAATAAAAGGTACTTTTTTGTGATTTTGGGAGTTCCTATTTTGATTAGAAGACAAACTCAGTACCAAAGTAAAAGAAATGTTATGATGATGTTTGCTTTGTCGTCCTTGACCTCGTTTGGCGCTAAAACAGGGAGTAAATGCACAAACATAAATTACCCCCGGCAAGTGAAAAACAACGCCAAATAATAATTTGTTTTAAAAAAGAAATAAAGAAATCAAGCAGTATGATCTCGAAATGACCAAATTAACTGCTACCATCTGTCTCTAGCTCTGTTCAACATCGGGCATTCATGAAACAAACCAACCATCTTTATTACTCTGCACCAGATGGCAGACTAGTGTACTGAAAGGCTCCTTTCGAGAGATTTTCAAAAGCCAAAAACAATATTAATATTTCCCAAAACCCTCTTTGTTTTTTTAATCTTCTTCTTCGTTTTAAGCTCTGTATCTCTGAAAGTAGTTCGTTTCTCTGGTGTGAAAAGATGGTTGGAACTCCAGTCAAATGGCTGGTTCTGATATCCCTAACGAGCTGCTTGCTTTTCAACGCTGTAGAATTATCAGCCAAGAAGACTTACATAATCCAAATGGATAAATCAGCCATGCCGGAGTCGTTCTCAGATCACTTAGAGTGGTACTCGTCGAAAGTAAAGTCAGTTCTGATGAAACAGAGTGATGATGAAGAGAGGATAATCTACAGTTACCAAACGGCTTTCCATGGAGTTGCGGCTCAGCTAAGTGAAGAAGAAGCTGAGAAGCTGGAACAAGACGACGACGTTTTGGGTGTGTTTCCGGAGACTAAGTACGAACTTCACACGACGAGAAGTCCGATGTTTCTGGGACTTGATCCGAGGCAGGACAGGGATAATGTCTGGTCGCAGATGCTGTCCGATCATGACGTCGTCGTGGGTGTGCTCGACACCGGAATCTGGCCGGAGAGCGAGAGTTTTAATGACACCGGGATGACTCCGGTGCCGGCTCACTGGAAAGGAGAGTGCGAGACGGGAAGAGGATTCGCGAAACGACACTGTAATAGAAAGATTGTCGGCGCGAGGATGTTCTACAGAGGATATGAAGCGGCGACGGGGAAGATCAACCCGCAGAGCGAGTACAAGTCGCCGAGGGACCAGGACGGGCACGGGACCCACACGGCGGCCACCGTCGCGGGGTCTCCGGTGAAGGGGGCGAACCTCCTCGGCTATGCGTACGGCACCGCTAGGGGAATGGCTCCCGGTGCGAGAATCGCGGCGTACAAGGTCTGCTGGGTCGGCGGGTGCTTCAGCTCCGATATTCTCTCCGCCGTCGACAGAGCCGTCGCCGACGGCGTCAACGTCTTGTCGATTTCTTTAGGCGGCGGGGTTTCGTCGTATTACAGAGATAGTCTCTCCGTGGCGTCGTTTGGGGCTATGGAGATGGGCGTTTTCGTGTCGTGCTCGGCTGGGAACGGAGGACCCGACCCGATCAGCCTCACCAACGTTTCTCCATGGATAACCACCGTCGGAGCTAGCACCATGGATAGGGATTTCCCTGCCACGGTTAAGCTCGGAACGGGGAAAACTATTTCCGGAGTTTCGCTTTACAAAGGAAGAAAAACTCTCGGAAGCAACAAACAATATCCTATTATATACATGGGAAGCAATTCCACGAGCCCGGATCCAAGCTCGCTGTGCTTAGAAGGGACACTAGATCGCCGCAAAGTCGCCGGTAAAATCGTTATCTGCGACCGCGGAATCAGCCCTCGAGTGCAGAAAGGACAAGTCGTCAAAGACGCCGGTGGCGTCGGCATGATCCTGGCCAACACCGCCGCGAACGGCGAGGAGCTCGTGGCGGACTCGCACTTAATCCCCGCCGTGGCCGTCGGAGAATCCAAAGCCAAAGAGATAAAACACTACGCTTTAACAAACCCAAAGACAACGGCAAGCCTGGCATTCCTAGGAACACGACTAGGAATCAGGCCGTCGCCGGTCGTGGCGGCGTTTTCATCCCGAGGGCCTAATTTCCTGACGCTTGAGATCCTGAAACCCGACATGGTCGCTCCAGGAGTGAACATCCTCGCGGCATGGACAGGGGATTTGGGACCATCGAGCTTGCCAACGGATAAGAGAAGAGTGAAGTTCAACATCCTGTCGGGGACTTCCATGTCGTGCCCTCACGTGAGCGGCATCGCTGCATTGCTGAAAGCCAGACACCCCGACTGGAGCCCCGCCGCCATAAAATCTGCTCTCATGACGACAGCTTATGTCCACGACAACACTCTAAATCCTCTGAAAGACGCTTCAACCGCTGTCCCCTCTAACCCCTACGACCACGGCGCTGGCCATGTCAACCCGAGAAAGGCTCTCGACCCTGGCTTAGTCTACGATATTCGGCCGCAGGACTATTACGAGTTCCTTTGTACGCAGAGTTTGACTCCGACCCAGCTCAAGGTTTTCTCCAAATACGCTAACAGGACTTGCAAACACTCTCTTGCTGGTCCCGGGGAGTTGAATTATCCGGCTATTTCTGTTGTTTTCCCTGAGAAAGCGTCGGTTTCTGTTATCAGTGTTCGTAGGACCGTTACTAATGTGGGCCCTCCCGTTTCGAACTACCATGTTTCGGTCTCGCCGTTTAGGGGTGCCTCTGTTAAGGTCGAGCCGAAGAGCCTGAGTTTCAACAAGGCGGGTCAGAAGTTGTCTTATAAGGTGACTTTCACGACTAAGTCACTGCAAACGGCGCCGGAGTTCGGAGATTTGGTTTGGAAAGATGGGGTCCACAAGGTCAGAAGTCCAATTGCCATTACTAGGTTGCCTCCCATGTGAGTTGTGAAATCTGCGGTGGTGTTTTTCTGCTACAAAATAAATAAGGATTTGCCTTTAGAGAGCTCAAGAGGGTCACTCAAATTTTTTTTTCGCCCTTTCCTTTTAGTTTGGTGAAATGATGATGAACTTATATTCCTTTGTTTCTTGCGTGATGAAAGTGAGATTGAACCGTCTAGCACTTGAAACATGACTAGAAAAGTTTAATCATCTCTATGTCAGTGAGCTTGCATTTTGGTTTTTGTTTTATGTTGCCTTTTTCCAGAGAATGTTCAGATCAACTAAGGAAAAAAAAGAAAAAAAAAAGATCGAATCGATCCAAGAATTTGCCGTTCTCACGTGGCCAATTTCGAGAAATAGTGACTGGATTTTGTCTTTCTTCTTGGTTCATTACAAGAATGCAAAAACTATTGTGTAGAAGAATTATAAAAAATTCTGCTCATCATGGGCGTATCGTAGGAAAATCTTGACGGTGGATTTCTGTTTTTGAGATCACTTAATCTTTTTTAGATTGATTAAGGATTAATGCTACAGATTAATATAGAGAAGACAATAAGTAAGATTTTTTGATCTAGTCTACTTGTGGATATACTAATATTTTATTGAATACAATCTTTCTCTGATAGTTTAATAGTGCGTAAAAAACTTAATGAACTTCCATGGTTTTATTTATAGATTTTGTACACATGAGTGACTTTCTCTTCATTCTCCGAGGAAATCATCATCTATCCTTAAATTTAGGGATTTGGCAGTTGTATTTTCATGATTACAGCTCTCAGTTAGGCGAACTACCCTTATCAGCTACTTGGTTTCCTGACTCCGACAGTAATAGTTGGTACAGTATATCTTTCATTGAGTTGACATAACTATCTTCGGATTGGACTGGGCTGCTACCCTCGACATCGTGACCCCCACAACTTCAGCGGGGTTCTCGATGTCTGTTACCCTGCATGAACTCTCGACGTCCAAAGGGCACCCTAAGTACAGTAGTTTTCTCGACGCCAGCGATCGATTCTCAACAGGGAGGCCTCAGACGCATGTCGTTCAAAGGAATGATTAATCCCTCGACCATGGTGTAACAATTACCCCTAGGTTGCAATATCACGTTGTGATGTCCTAGGCTATGCTACGTCGAGAGTTCCACGTGGCAGATTCCCTCCTGCAGACTATGGCGGCTGCTTGTAGGGCCCTTTCTTGCTTGTTTCCAGAACATGTCGCCCAAATAGGTTAGGGGTCGAGAGGTCATCACTTCCAGGGTTAGGGATGACCCTGAAAATGCCGGGTCGACGAGTACGTCTTTTGACAACAGCGAGGACTCTTTGCTTCATCAGGTGGATGAGTATGCCGAGGGGTCGGTCTCGACCTCCCAGCCGGATGAGCTAATTCTCCTCGATGATGAGGATGATGGTCTGAGGGTCGGCCCTGCTGGGAGGCGTGGCTACGGGGTGGCGTCAACCAGTGGCGTTTCAGGGATGGTGACAGACGTCAATCCGTCGAAGATAAAGCCCCGGGTTGCCATGAAGGCATTTAACGATGCGGGAATCGACGCTAAAAATTTTTATTTGATCATCCGACCCCCAATGATAGGGCTCACAACCCCCATGCCAGTCATATGACCGTATACACGCGCTCTCTTAGTTTTGGGTAGACTCTGCCTTTTCACCCTTTCGTGAAGGCCCTTTGTGGCCTTCACAGGATTTTTCCTGCCCAACTGTCACCCAACTGTTGGGTGACAATAAACTCCATGATAATTTTGTGGAGAAAATTTTTGAACCTTGACATAACCGTCGAGGAGTTTTTGTACTGCTATGCCCTTAGGGGTTCCCCCGGCCAGAGGGGATTTTTCTACTTGGGCTCCCACTCTAAATCTAAACCTCCAGTCCCACCTATTGTGGTCGAGAAGACTTCTACTTGCCACGGGTGGAAGCCCCAGTTCTTTTTTCTCGGTGGTAACTTTAACTCTCACCCGCTCGACGGTGAGCGTCCTTTGGGGACGCAAACAGTATTCAGCAAATACTGTAGGTTTCCTTTTTGTTGAATTTTGGTAACATCTCCCCATCTGTCGAGCTATCTTACACATGTTGCTCTTTTCTGTAGGTGAAGTTTGTGCTCGACCGAAGCTTTCTTTAGCGGCCCTAGCACGAGTCGAGCAGATCAGATCCTATCCCTTTCTGAGTCCATCATTAATACCCCAGAGAACCGTCGACTGTACGGTTTGGTGGTCGACCTTGAACCTCTGCGCCAGCCGGTTGCGCCCCCTGCAAATCTCCTCAGCGGTAAGCTGGAACTTACTTCCCCTCATCTCTCAGTAGAAGGAGAGGGAAATGGTAGAGGAATTCTTGGATCTGACATTTTCTTTATTGTGCAGCCGTGCCGTCTACCATGAGGTACGTTGTCCCTCCAAAGTTAAGAAAGAGAGGCGGAGGGGCCTCTTTCAAGTCGTCGAGTCAACCGGAGGTCCAAGTCACTCCAGCCCCGAGTGCCACTGAGGTTCCCGCCCGGGGAAATTTTGTCGTCACCCCTGCTCCTAAGAAGTCGAGGATGGAAGAGCCACAAGGCCCCTCATCAATCGAGAGGTCTTCTCGGGCGTCTCGACGCCTGGACAAAGGAAAGGGCGTTGAGGTTGCCGTGAACCTAGAGGTCCTTCCTGAGCCTGAGGGGCCCTTTGTAATGCCGGGGTCGAAGATTAATGACCCCTAATTTCTTGTTTCGGACGTGGTCGACCACGACATGAATCAGAATATGCGCCTCTCCTCTCGCAGTTTCACCCAGACTCTTGGGACAAGTTCGCAGGGATGGACCTTCTGGAGCGCCATCGTATATAGGTGATCCGCCAAATCTCGGTAGGTTTTGTTTGCTCACTTCTTGACCCCCGTTCTCACATAGTTAATCTGTGATTTCTTATCCATGCCCTTTCTTCTTCGTTGTCCAGGCTCTTGAAGCTACGCTCCTGAACTATGTGGAGCTCGACGCCTTGCTAAGGCAGGGCGTCCTGTCGAGGGCTGCGAAGTGGATATCTCAGCTCTGCACACTGCTCGGGAGGAGCTCTTCTCAGAATTGGAGGCCGAGAAAGCCAAAGTTAGATCTCTGAGGGAGGCGATCACTAAGGAAAAAAATGAGAGCTTCCAGAAGGGCCTCAGTGAAAGGTGCTCCAAGGCGGTCGAGGCGTACCTTGTGATATGAACCCCGCCAACAATGTGACGAAACCCGTAGCTAAATATGTGATACGATCTAAGATCTTCAAAAATTGATGAAAACTGCGACTCGTTGCTTAGCAAAGTAAGAACCTTGGTATGGTGAAGACGCCACAAACGAGTAAGAAAATTCTGTTTGATAAGTCAAGGGTGAACGCCACAAGGAAAACCTTGATAAGTTCGGAATAGTTCTTCAAGAACTAAGAAGAATATCTCACAAAGTGAATAAACATCAAAACTTTTTTATTAATTTTCATTTTTCAGCCTTAAATAGCCGAAAACAAACTGAAAAAGGTTTAAAAATTAAAAAGTCATATCCTATCCTTAATGTGATAGAAGCCTAAAATAAGATAAACCTAAACCAAAATAAACGCATGCTTAAAGCTTATCCTAGGGAAGGAATCCAAATTTGACTCCAACTCCTTCCTTCTAAACACCTAAAGATAATCTCTTAGGGAAGGAATCCGAATTTGAATCTAACTCCTTCCTTAAAAACACCCATTATGCAAATTAAATGTTTAAATTCAAACTTAAAGCTAAAAAGATAGAATTATGATAAAAGGAAAGTCTTTATTTGGAATTTGACTTGATCCCGGGCTGGAAAACACGCCTAACTTCTTGAAATTCCCCATTGCACGTGTATCCTAGATTGGTATGTAAGTTGGCCATGCAATGGCTTAATGGACGTGTAAGACTAATTGGCTCTCTTCCGGAATGGCTCAATGGACGTGAAAGACTAGTTGGCTCTCTTCCGGATTGACTTTGATGAGTATTTCTTGCATCCTTGATGTTCACATCACCTTGCATCTCCTGTCTTCCAACAGAAGAAAAAGAAAGTTGTTGAGGAATTCCTGGCTTCTGAGGAGTTCCGTCGTTCGGTCAACGTTCGGCTAAAGGCTTTTAAGTCGTCCCAAGAGTTTTGGGACGTAGTCGAGGAACGGGTGGAACAGTTTAAATCCTCAGAAGCATTGGAGGATATTCTTTCCCAGAGGCTCGACGCTTACCAAGACTCTATTGAGTTTGAGGAGCTTCAACTTTCCTTGATGAAGTCTGCTGGGGACCAGCTTCTTGACCGCTTCCCAAGAAAGCGCCCAGAGGTCGACTTGTCCTTCCTCGACGAGTCTGACGATGACGATGTAGAGGTGCTCGAGACAACGCCAGGTGCCGAGGATGCTGAGTGGGCACCAGGGGATGGGGCAACACTATGAGGACTTTTCTTTTATTTATTCATATATATAATTCTTAGAGGGTCATCATGCCGAGACATTTAATTTTTTGTTCTGTAACGGCCATAAGGTCGAGACTTGTTATTATATATATATATATTATATATGCTTATTTTGCGTGTGAATGCTGTAGACGTACTGAAAATTTTTGGTTAAGTATGGTTAAACTAGGGCTTTTTAGCACCTTTACAGACCTTGGGGTGGTCTTATTACCCCCTCGTTAAAGACAGTATTTGACGCAACATTGGTCGACATTTATCGGTCGACGTAGATAGTAGATCTTCGAGTATGTGGAGCCAATCGAGTGTGATGTAGTATTTTACATAGATCAGATAGTAGAAAATTCAATTATACTTTTATTTATTTAGAGTTTACACGTCGACTTTTCAGCTTACAAAAAATAAAATAGACAACATAATAAAAATGCTAAGTGTGACCTTTAGGTCGACCTTTCTCGCCGTTATTGGTAGTAAGTCTTCAGTTAGTCTGCATTTCATGTGTGCTTGTTGTCTCAATCACTTATTTCTGCGAGTCGATAGGATCCATTTGCCACAACTTCCTTTATCCTGTAAGGTCCTTCCCAAGTTGGGCACCAAGCCCCAGAGTTCTTGGGTTTAGTATTTGGGGTTACCACTCGTAAAACGAGATCCCCTACTTTGAACCACTTATGCTTGACTTTTCTGTTGTAGTACCTAGCAGTTCTGGCTTGGTACGCGGTAAGCCTTAACTGCATGTCTGTGCGCCTTTCCTCTAAAAGGTCGAGCTCCAGGCCTATTCGGTCGGTGTTCCTACCTTCTTCATATCATATCACTCGACTGGTAGGAATGGATATCTCGACCGGAAGGACCGCTTTCACCCCATAAGCCATTGAGAATGGAGTTTCCCCCGTGGTCGTCCTACTGGTCGTCCTGTAAGCCCATAGGACCTTTGGTAGCTCATATGCCCACTTTCCTTTGTAGCTGTCAAGTAGTCTATTTAGCGTTATTTTGATGATCTTGTTGACC